TTGTCAGTGCCCCCGCGGTGAGAGTCTACGACGACGGATGTGACAGAGGACAGGTGTATTCCGACCCTGGTCCGCCCGCCGCCTCGCCTGATGCGTGTGTGGCCTATGAGGACGCCTCGTAACGAGTGACACCGCGCACTGCGCCCTGACATGTCTTGAGTCAATACCTTATTGTGCAGAGTTTGGGACGAAAGGGTCTCCAAGTTCCAGGCTGTTTCAGGGACAGTGGTGAAAAGGTGCAGGGACGAATGGGACAGGCAGTGCCTGAGTGGGAGGGCTTGGCTTGACGTCAGGGTGGATCCGAAGGATACGGGAGGTGGTTTGGCAGACTGGCAGGACGACAGTTCGTGATCCTAGTATTCAACAACAAGTGCAGCGGTTGAAGCCACAAGTTGGGTAAAGGACTGATGCCAAAATTGGGACGCCGAGGGAGAGATGGACTCAAAGTCAGGTTGCTCTCGAGAAGCTAGCTCACTGACAGCTTCCATCAGGTGGGTTATCCTGGGCTGCATGACCCAAGCCGGATCAGGGCATCTCGAATCCTCGATCTGCAATTCCAGGCGCCAGCCGGTGGGGCTGCGGTCAGATGGCGGCCGCCAGAGCACACAACACGCAGCAATTGCGTGCCCTTCCAAGATGTACGTGGACGGCTGTCCCACCATTGACTCGGGAGCACCTGGGCTTCACATAAACAGGCCAGCATCGCAGTACTCCAACCGTCAAGGTGATGGTTTTTTTCGTCCGGTGTCGAGGTGGCACGGTAGGCCTGTGGCGAGGCCGCGGGCGCGAGCAGCGGGCGATGGAGCGGCCGGAAAGGGGGCCTCGTCATGCACAATTGCGGCGATTGAGCAGGCAGGGCGGGCCAGCGGGGAGGCCAGCGGGGAGGCCAGCGGGGAGGCCAGCGGGGAGGCCAGCGGGGAGGCGGCAAAGACCGTGAACGAATAGAGACAGCGGCCAAAGAGTGACTCTCGCCGTGATTGCCGTTCTGCGATGCAGACGCAGACGCAGAGAATGGCTCGAATGGGCCTCGCAGCCCCGCCTAACAAATCAGGCTTTCCGCAGGTTCCAGGCTGGGCGACTGCTCCGGGGAGGGCGCCAGGCCGGGGCGAGGCTGGGTGCAGCTCTTCGGCCGCTCTCCAGGCTGGAGGGTGGAGAATCCCTCCGCAGCCCCACAAAAAACGTCCCGCGGCTTCCCGCCTGTTCCCCAGCGCTTCTGAGCTATAATCCCGGCCTAACTTGTTGAACCTCAACCTCCCCCCCTCTACACACCCACGCCATCGCCCATCCACCCCGCCCTCGATCCGGATGGCTTCGCACAGAAAGACAGGCGCGCTCAAGAAGCCGGTGGCCAAGGCGAAAACAAAAAAGCCCGACGGCAAGGCATGCAAGGGCAAAGCCAAAAAGGCACTGTCGGTGCCCGTCCTCGGCCTGCCGCCCGAGATCGTGCTCCTCATCGACGAGCTGCTCGACCTGCAGGACCGCCTCGCCCTCGGACGCACGAATCGTTGGTTCTACACCATCATCAACCCGGTCCTGTACCGCGACAATGTCAAGCTGGCCGCCGCCTCGTCCCTCTTCTGGGGCGCCGAGAACGGCCAGTTGGGCACCCTCAAGCACGCCCTCGCCGCCGGCGCCAATCTGAACACCCCGGGGCCGCTGCCGCGCAAGGCGGGCGAGGCCGACAACAACGACAGCGAGAACGACGCCGACGGGAACCCTGACGCAGACCCCGCCACCGAGTTTGAGGAGCCCCCCGACCCGAACACGCAGCCGTCGTGCACCCCGCTCCACCTCGCGGCCAAGAACGGCCATCGAGAGATTGTGGAATGGCTCCTGGACAACGGCGCCGATATCGACGCCCCCTCGTACCGCGTCTGCGAGTGCCAGTCCCTCAAATCCGGAAGGCATCCCGCGCGCCGCCTCGCCGAATGGCCGCACTGGCGGGCCCTGCACACCGCCATGTGCAGCCAGGAGCGCGCCGTCGCCGAGCTGCTTATCCACCGCGGCGCCGCCCTCGAGCTGGACACGGCATCCGCACACCAGCACACGGCCCTGCACTCGGCCGCCGCCCACGGCCTGATCCCCGTCATCAAGCTGCTGGCGCTGAACGACATCAGCCTCGACGTCAACCAGCGCGATGAGTGGGGCAATACGGCCCTGCACTACGTCTCGGAGATCTGGAGCCCCCGCGATTCAGCCGACATTCGCGACACCATCACAAAGCTCCTCGCCCTGGGCGCTGACCTGGAGGCGCATAACGATAACGGCTACACCCCTCTACTCAACGCGTGCTTCAGAGGCAACTACGCCGTGGCCCACCGCCTGGTCAGCATCGGCGCGAATCCCGATCCCCACAACAACATCCCCAACTTCCGCGACTACCGTCCGCTGTACTACTGCATGCTGCAGCGATCCGAGTTCTTCGATATGGACGAAGCGCCGGTTAAGCACGACGAATTCGAAGGGAACCGCGTCACGCTGATCAAGGCCTTGGTTGATGCGGGCGCCGACGTGAATGCCAGATTTGACAAGCGCGGCCACCGCGGCGTGTCACCGCTCATGCTTGCTTGTGAGCTGGCCGAGCCGCGGGCCGTTGCCGCCCTCCTTCAATGCGGCGCCGAGATCAACGCGCAAGATCGCAGCGGCCGGACACCGCTCTGCTACGCTGTGACAATAAGAGTCGATCATCGTGGTGAAGTGCCCGAGATCGCATCTATCATGCTGCGACACGGCGCGCGCATGGACATCGAGGAGGACCCAAACTGCAGTCCTCTCGACACCGCTATCAAGCATATCCGCTGGGCAGAAGACGACGTGCTCGAGGCCATGCTGACCGTGGCCGACAAGTCCAATCTCACGCAGGTCAAGCTTAAGGAGGCCCTGAAGAGTTGCGCTTCGTGCGGGAATCACAAGGCACTCAAGCTCCTCCTCGCCTTTGCCGACCGGGTATACAGGGTGACGAATGCCGATGTGAAGGATTACTTGTGCCGTATTATTGAGCAGAGCGACCCGTGGAACCAGATCGAGACGTTCAACTGCATGATGGAGTTTGGGCGACCCGTCTACACCAACGAAATGCTACTGCTCAAGACCATCATGCAGCAGAACCGGGAGCTCAGCCTGGCGGTCATGGAGCGCGGCGTCGCCATCAGCGAGCCCCGGTTCCACGGCGACCAGACATACCTCCACCTCGCGTGCCAATGGGGGGACCTGGAGGTGGTGAAGGCGCTGCTGGAGCGCGGCGCCGACGTGGACGTCTTCGACCGCGAGCTGCGGACCCCGCTGTCCATCGCCGTGAGCGAAAACTACGTGTGCATCGCGGTGGCACTCATGAAGGAAGTCGCCGACCCCTTCCTCATGCCCCCGGACGAGCTCCTCCAGCAGCTCTTCAGCGACGAGGACGACGACGAGTGGCGCTTCGTCAAGCGGCGCTACCTCACGGCCTTTGACCTCGCCATCCGCGACGACCGCGTCGACATCATCCAGGACATGCTCTCGCGCTTCGCCCTGCCCGACATCCCCCCCAAGACCAGATTCAGCTACGTCCACCGCGCCAGCCAGAACCCCAACCCGGCCATCCTCAAGCTCCTCCTTGAAAAGGGCGCCGACGCCGGCGGCGGCGCGGCCTGCCCCAACCCGCCCGCCGTCGCCCTCATCCGCCGCGTGTGGGACCAGCCGCGCCTGCCCGACGCCGCCGTCAGCCTGCTGCAGACAGCCAAGCTGCTGCTGGACAAGTGTGCCGGCGGCGAGGACACGCCCAGCTGGGCCCTGGTCAGGCGCATCGCCGTGGGCATCAGCGCCGGCGACCTGGACCCGGACCGCATCGCGCTGCGGCGCGTCGTGATGCGCGAGCTGGGCATCCGGGTGCGGTTCGATGGCCCCGGCCGCGAGCCGGTCGTTTCGATTAGGAGTGAGTTGCCCGAGGAGGTTTTGAAGAGGTTTGGCATGGAGCGGGAGAGGGCGGAGGAGGAGGATGAGGAGTGAGGGAGGGGGTGGTACCTACTACCTAGTGACATGAGGTGGGGTGGAGGGGGGTATCCTTTTCTTTTCTTTTGCTTTGCTGTTTTCTCTTTTTTCTTGCATCGGTCAGCGGGTTTCCTTTCTTTCCTATGGTAATCACCACATTCTGGTATGGTATACACAGCACAGAAGTACGGTACAGCAGCACATTGCTGGCGGCGGGATGAGGTTGGCTAGGTAGGGGTTGGGAAAGCGGGGTTGGTCGGGGAGTATACCTATTATATCACGGGGTGCCGGTGCTGTTTTTGATGATGTGTCGCAGACAAGACACAGGGGTGGGTGGGATTCATGACTTGGACTCGGATTGGGTGGATGGGTGGGTGGTGTATATTGTACATGGTATTCTTGCTCGACAGATTACTTATTGCTCTGAGCGGTTGACGAAATTGATGACTTTTGACGATGAGAGATATTTGCGGCGGTCTGTTCACCGAGTTTTGACAGCCTGGGAGTTACCTAGTTGCCTAGTTGTTGGCGGCTTGAGGCTGAAAAGGGGGCTCGAGGGGGGGTTGAGGCATCGAGGTAACCCATTTGCGAGGACGAAGCTGGCAGCTTGAACGCAAGACGGCCGTTCTTGGTGTTCGTACTCGCAGCGAAGGCAACTCCCACAGCTCATCGAAGAGGCTGAAAGCTGGCCCCGGCGCGATACATCGGACCGGTGCGTCGGACCCCTAAGCCAAGTAAAAGCTGTTCCCTACCTTGTGTGTGCCAACCAACCACACCTAGGTATCACATCCGGCACAATGGCGAGGCGTCGCCCTTGCTGTATTGTATTGTATGGAAGTGGAATATGGCCAAATATTCTATTTTGGTTGCGTGTCTTCTCCTCTCTTCCGCTTCGTCCTCACTATCTACAGGTTCTTGACAGAATGCTCAACTCAACAAGGTAACAAACAAGGTAACAAAAAGCAGGCTGCCTTCAAGGTTGAGAGAGACTAAAAGGGCAAAAAAGAACTACGTCAAAAGAATAGCTGTTGGAACGCCCACGGCGAGACTCGAACTCGCAACATTCAGATTAAAAGTCTGACGCGCTAGCCGATTGCGCCACGCGGGCTTGAAATGGAGGCGTCAAACTGCAGGTTTATAAGTGATTGACGGCATGTGAAGTTTGCGTTCCAACGCTCAGCAGAAGAGAGACTTTGACATTTCAAAGACAGTTCAATATTAGTATCTTGATGTGTATTGCAGGTTTGACTATATAACATAGTTCATAGGATATAGTGATATGTTTAGCTGAGAGGTCGAACAACGTCTCTTTCTAGCTTTTCGGTTGGTTCTCAGGTGTTACACAAATCAACTTCTCTCGTTTTTGCCGCACCTGCAGAGGAAGCCTCTGCACTCACTTACCGCCCTCATAATCCGACTCCCGGCATGGCTAGGCTCAAATCGATTCTGAGATGGCTCCATGGGAGGTCCAAAACACGATCTCCAAGCTGACCAGAGGCCGCGGAGGGCCCAGACGAAGACACGACAGACAAGGATGAGGTGGATGAGAACAGCAAGGACGAAACACTTTGGCTCCCGTCATGGCCCCCGCTGAATCCCAGGGAGATCCTCGCCGACAGAGAGGCGTACCGGCAGCGCCTGGGTTACCGCAAATACCGCGCCCCCGAATACGTCTTTGAGGACTCGCCGCTCTTTCGCCTGTACCGGCTGTACGAATGGATCATGGCGGACCATGTCATCAACATGCGCAACGAGTTGAAGATCTTCTGGTGCGTACTACGCCGCCCATGTTCAAGACTTGGACGAGATGCAAACCATGTTCAAACAATGTTCAATGCTGACACCGAGGATGCCACCAGGTGGGACCGCTGGCCGGTCGCGAGCATCCCCGACCCCGGTGAGCAAGGCGACCCCGAGCGGTACGCCGTGCTGGCCTGCATCCCCGGGCTAATCGCCGAGAGCTTCAACCAGCGCATCGACCTCGGGCTGCGCCGGGAGGAGCCGTCGGCGATCCTGTCCCTGGAGGAGCAGCTGTACTGGGCCTCGACGCCCAAGAGGTACGAGGAGACACCGGCGTGGACCGAGAAGGTGCCGCCGCTGAAGGACATGCTCCATATCCCGCACAGTCAGCCGCATACGGAGCAGCTGACGTCTCTTGAGGACGCGGATGCGGATCCGCATTTCAGGAAGAAGAATATTCTGGCTATTAGGCCGCATATTCACTTTGTCTAGGCTTGGTTGTGGAATGTTACTATGTTGGATTCCCAAGACGCAGATTTCGTTCATGTTAGCAAGCCTCCTCGAGTAGAAGCAGTTATAACTAGGGGGGGTTGAGGTTATCAAGACATCGGTAGCTTGGTGCGTTCAAGAATCAAGCCTGCCCTCGCTGTTTGCAATCACACAACGAGCCTCTAACCTTTTGGGTACTAGGAGCTGAGTCCAGGAATAAGAAGGAGGTAGGAGCTCGCAGCGGCATAATATTCCATCTTCCAGGCACATATCATATATGACAGTATCATCTAGCCAGAAGGGCAGGACAGGCGAGTGCAGTAATACGAAAGAAAAAGGCTTGGAATAAACCAGGTGACAAAGAAAAACCACAAAAAAGCTCGCCAGCCCCATGGGATTGTTACTGGCTACGAAAAACCCGGTGATGTGTGGATTTTTGCGGTGGGTTGGACGCGGTGATGTGCATCGTGATGTAGAACAACCCTGCTTCCAGCTGGACTCGAACCCCGGGGTAAGAGAACCAGAGGTTGCTCCCGGACCTCCGCAGTTACAACTGAGCCATGGAATGGATTGCAGTCGTAACTGGGAGGCCGGTTGACAGTGGGGGACGTGGACCTAATACATATACCGTCGATGCTTCAGGGCTTTCCATGGCTTAGTCAACGTGCATAGGGGGGGTGACCGGCTGCTATCCGGCCTCTGCAGTGGGGGGAGGGAGGTCCGGCAGCAGGACTCGAGCATCTTGTTTACTCGACTGCCAGGCAGCTGGCATAGTTGCCAATAGTTGCCAACTGACTCTCACGCGGTTGAGCCCTGTTCAAAAGAACTAGGTACTTGGTATGTTGAGCGCGTTTTGTCATAATACCTGAGGACTGAACCTAGTTCGTTTTCGAACTAAAAACTGCCTTTGGTGCTTTTACGGCACCGGCAATATCTTTTAGTCGTTGGCGCAGGACTTGCTTCAGACTTCTGTCTCCAACTCTCCCGCGCCTTGTTCTTGCGTGGTTCGTTCAGGACGAGTTGGCCGGAGTTGAAATCGGTTCGGGATTGGTATGGGAATGGCCCGAATGGGTATAAAATCACACACAAGACCAAAATAATCCAGACAAGTGAAGTCAATCCAGGACCAGTTGTCGGTTCCTCATAGCAGCCATCTTGTAATTAAGTCATCCTTGAAACGTTGAGCGGATGCCGTTAGACCTGGAGAGTCGTAGACTGTATTGTACATGTAGTAGACATCGGGCACCTTGCTAACCTCAACCAAAAATCGGCTGATCTAGGTACGCAGTTGCCGCACGTTCATACGAAGTAGACATAGTCAGATACGGCCACCTGACGAGAGTTCCAAGAGTGGCTTGTGCCGTAATGGCGCAGGTGTCGTCGGTCTCCTGCCGCCTGGGGAGGACGAAACGTCGATCACCTGCATGCTTGGTCTTTTAACTTCGCGTCCTCCCAGGCTCCGATTCCTGCGCCCGTCTTCGAGACGAATCCGACTGTTCCGAACGAATGTCAAGTGTTCGTAGCTTTGAGTATCATGGTTCTACTCCCTCCTTAATTTCAGTCCTGCTTGCGGTTTCTCCTTCCCCGGATTTCCCGTGTCTCGTTTTCGTTATCCCCCCCCCCCACGATGATGCCGAACCAGGGCGCTTCAAAGGCCCATCCTGCCCCACCAAGTCTGACAGGCTCCAGGGATATTTGCACCCAAAGCTGGGTCATGCAGCGTGGCTCAGGGGGGCACGGCACGGGCGCGATCCCACGATGTAACGCTGTAATTGCCAAAGCTATACGCGCTCCACAGAATTCCAAACGCTGGACGATCCCCGCTGCTGTAATGTTTCCGAGTCCGGCGTGCCTGGTCAAGGTTCCTGGTCGACCCGGAAGCCCCTGATGATGAACCTCGATCCTGCACGTCAACGCCCGGAGACCGATTCCTCACCGCGATTTTGGGAGAATTTCAGCCTCTCCAGGTTTCGGTAATTCGAGCCCGTGTTGCTGGCCCACTATGCTTCAAGGGCGACCAACATCAACAGCTCGGCTGCTTGCCCTCATAGGGCTTGGCTGCAGTTTGGGGGCCGCGCTGCCGGATGTGCCGACCCCGGACAGCTTTCTCCGCAGGGTCTGGGCCAAAGCGACCGTCCTGGGCGACTATGTTTACATCGACGGGGGCGAACTCACCCAGCTGGTCGACGGAAAGCTGCTGAGCGGCGACGCGGACGTGGGTAAGGAAGACTGGAACCGCAGAACCAGACTCAGCAACCGCGACGCTGACGTTGTGCTGTCTCATCATCGCAGTAAACTCGACCCTCTCGATCGACGTATCCACGTCGTGGAAAACCACAAGCGTTGCTATCCGAACGATCCCCAAACCGGGCCCGACCAAGTCCGATGTAGGCCTCTGGACGGACACGGCCGCGGGGGCCTTCTACTCCTGGGGCGGCAGGTGGCTGGGGGGAAAGAACATTACCAAAAATGCGCTCTGGAAGTTCACGGCCGATGGCAAGGGTGGCGGGACGTGGGCGGTCGAGGAGCCGGCGAACCCGACGCTGTTTAACGGCCTGCACCAGACCGAGTACGGCGCGTTTGTCAATACGGACAGCACGGGGTTCGTGATCGGGGGCGTGTTGCATTTCTGGACCGAGCTGGACCACAGCACGGCGGATCCGATCCCCGGCATGGCGGCCTTCGACATGAAGACCAAGCTCTGGCAGAACGGGACGACCAACTTCAGCCCCTACGATACGGGGACGTTGAACCAGGCCACGGCCCTCCACCTACCGTCTGTCGGGGCAGACGGGCTGATCATCGTGCTGGGCGGGTATGCGCCGCCAACGACGGGCGACTTGAACCAGTCGGACGGGCCGCCCCTGGATCTTCGCAACTTGACCATGTTCAACCCGCAGACGAAGACGAAGTACTGGCAGATAGCCACGGGCACTGTTCCTCCTACACCGCGAGGGCAGGCGTGCACTGTCGTCTTTCCGACGTCTGATGGCGGTTACGATATGTGAGCTCCCAGTTCCATCTACTCAGACTTCCTCCGTACAGTTAGGGGTTGCCATAGCAGAGAGCTGACAAACACAGCTTCCTATTCGGTGGCGTTGACGGGCGCCACAAATTCAACCACGAAGACGCATACATCCTGAGTCTGCCGGGCTTCATCTGGACGAAGCTCCCAGATCCCCCGGGGGGTCCTCGTTCAGGGCACGTACGTACCACCCGCCCTCCGCCCCCCCCCCCCACCTCCCGGCCCATATATCTGACACCTTCGCCCAGACCTGCGTTCGCGTGGGCAAGCGGCAGGTCCTGAGCATAGGCGGCGCCGACGGCTCGCGGACCGACGCAGACAAGGCCCCCCAGGGGCTGCTGCTGTTCGACATGACGACCATGGAGTGGAAGGACTCGTACGACGCCAGCGCCGCCGACTACGAGCGGGCCGCGTCCCTCCAGAACTGGTACAGCAATGGGTATGCTTCGACTCCCCATGGCCAAGCGTAAACCTGCCCGCGGACTGACACTGCGTACTACAGCTCCTTGGACACAGTCGACTGGTCCACAGACGAAGTCCAGAAACTCTTCGCGGCCGCCGTAAGCGCAACCACCTCCGGTAAGTACCTGCCCATCGCTTGCATCCTCAAGCCCATTGAAACTAACCCCTCCCCCAAGACTCAAACCCCACCTCCACCGGCAACACCGCAACCAGCAACACCGCCGACACCTCCACCGCCGACACCTCCACCTCCTCCTCCAGCTCACCCCCCGTCGGCGCCATAGTAGGCGGCGTAATGGGCGGTATCGCAGCCGTCGCCATCGTGGTCGCCGCATCCTGGGTCCTGGTCCGGCGCCACCGCAAACAACAACAACAACAAAACGCCACCACCA